ACTTAGTCATAGGCTCTGATGGCCTAACAAAAGCAGCAGACCCAAAAGTGGAGAGAAACCAAATCTTTTCTGCTGTGGTGGTGCTGCAGATCAAACTCAGGGCCTTGCACTGAGTTGGGTAGGTTCTGCACTGAGCTATGCCTCCAGCTCGAAGGCCAAACTTGGTGGCATTGTACAGCCCCTGCATGCAGCTGTGGCTAAGCCAGAAACACCTCTGGACCCTTCAGTGACACACACTGTCTCCCGTTAAGTCAGTTTGAGCAGAGTTCTCCAAACTTGCAACTCAGAGTCTTGTTACATATAACATGTTTTGATACTGAATAAATTTAAATCATTTTTATTTTGTTTTAATGTTAATACATGCATATTAGTGTTGCAGGCAGCCTGAGTTAGATAGAAATATTGTAGGTAGTTAGACAGGGACAGGCCCTCAAAGGAAATGACAAAGACCAGACACCTTACTGGGGAGATGCTCCTGGTGTGAGCCAGACCTAAAGATCAAACAAATGCTGACCTCCCTAAAGTTGGCATCCAGGATTGCTCATTAGTCAGGAAGAATCATTGACTGAAGGCCACCAGATAAGGTCGCCTGCTTGCTACGTGACTCGCTACCCCATTTGATCCTAGGCCTAATAAATTTTACCTGGGCAATGGTGCTTGTAAACCCATTGGTTGACCATAGTTTTGTCCCACCCTGTATCTGCCTAAGCAGGACCCCTTTGTCTCTACCTTAGCCCCGCATAGTTTTGTCCTATAAAATAACCTGAAGCACACAGCTTCCTGGGCAACCCACTCGGGACCCCCTTCTGTCCCTCTCCGACAGAAGCTTTCCTTTCCAATAAAGTTTTACCTTCAGCCTCCGTTTGTTTCTAAAATTCATTCTTCGGTTTTAGAGAACACGAACTCATTCAGGCCAGGTTGGGAATTTCATCTCCCTATATCATTAGGGCTGGCAAGATAGCTCAGCGGACTAAGTGCCTGCTTAGGCAAGCACAGGGACTGGAGTTCCATAACCCGTGTAATGGGTTCACCCACATTTTAGGCTATAAATGTAAATCTTGTTATTCTGTTGTGTGTTGTTTAGTAACTAGTGGCTGTTTCTTGCTGTTTGCTAAGATAAAAATTCCTTCCTCACTATTCCTGTAAACAAAGTTAGCTTACAGAGATGACTTCAAAAGAAAACTAAATGCCTCACTAATTCCTATAAACAAAGTTAACTTACAGATGACTTCAAAAGAAAACTAAATGGGCTTAACTCCTTGTGTCCTCGGGCTATGCAAGGCTACATTTTGTGTCAGATGATAAATTTATTTACCAAACTAAATGTGGTTTCATGTTTTAAAAGCCCCCTGCTTCTGGGGCTAGCTGTGTTCACTCCTCTCCTGTGTGAGAGCTGATGGGCAGCCCTGAACTCAGTAATAAATGGCTTTTTTCCCCCCCTGTATTTAGGGCAGGGTATATGTACAGGGTCTCACTGCGTAGATCAGACTCCTAGTGATTCGCCTGTTTATATCCTCCCAAGTGCTGGGATTATAGGTGCATGCCACCACACCCAGTCTCAATCACTGTCTCAGTGTGCCCCAGGGGCAGGGCCAGCAGGCAGGCCAGGGGATCGAACCCCTGACCCCTGCATCTGCCTAAACAGTTGCTTTAATCCACTGAGCTATTTAGCCCTTAAACAGCTTTTTCAATTTCAATCTGGCTGATCTGATTCCTATTCTGAGTGACCCATAACAATGGGTATCACATGCTACACAGACCCCACCCCAGGGCACACTGAACTGGTGGCTGAGTCATGGCGTGGTCCAACACGCCTATAATCCCAGCACTGGGGAGGCTGAGAACAGGAGGATGACTATGAGTCTAAGCTGCATAGTGAGACCCTGTACTGAAAACACATTTTTTTTTTTTTTTTTTTTTAATGCACATGTTAGAGTAATGGTTGGGCTAGGGAGATAGCTCAATAGAATAAGTGCTTGCCTGGCAAGAGCAAGGCCCTGAGTTCAATCCCCAGTACTGAAAAAAAAAAAAAAAATACAGTAATGGAGAAGAAGTGTAGGGTCCGAATAATTTGGAAAATTAGCAATTAAACAAAAGAGACCACCCTCCGGGTTGTTAGGTAACCCAAATTCCTAAAACCTTAGGTTGGGCCATAAAATCACAGGCCCAGCTTGAGCAAACATCACCTCCCCTGGGTTCGATGACATTCTTGTGAAACAGGGTCACAATGTGTAGTTACTCCCCCTTCCCCAAAGAACAAACTGAAACCACCAAGCCAGCTCATGGTTAACCTTTAACTGACCGTTCTTAGTCTCCTTTTTTAGGACATATTCTAAAACCCACCAATTATTTTAAAAGTTACCCTAAAATTAACCAATGTGATCTGCTTCTGTAACCCCGCTTGCAAAACCCCTCCTCCCTTTGTCTTCAGGCTTAAAAACATGGCCCACGGTCAGTTCGGCGCACTTTCTGTTCCTGCGTGCACACAGCTAATAAAATTCCCTTTGTTCTTTGCATGAGAGACCGACTCTTGGGGTCTTCCTTCGCAGTGACTCGACCCTTACAGAAGAAAGTCAAGAGACACATCAGACCTGCTTCCAGTAATGGTAGACTGGGTCATCAGACCAGTCTCCCACTGAAGACAACTGAAAAAGACAAGTGGTAAAAACTAAATGCATTAAGTTTCTAGTAAGGTAATGTTTGCTTATTAATGATTGCTGAGTTGAGATCAGAGAATAAAGATTAGAGATGAACTGAACAGTAGATGAGGTACATTCTTTCTAGGGCTTTTGCCAACCCTGAAAAGGTGGCCTGGGACATGAGCTCTGCCCTGGCAGTCTTGCGGGATCAGGGAGACCCCAGGGGGAGAACAGCCCCTCCCAGGTAAGCATGGTACCTGCTGGGAAGGCTGCTTGTTCTCCAGAGTGAGGGGAATAGGAATTTAATTGAAGTGGCTCAGAATGTTCAGTGTCTGCAGGTACTTGGTAGAAAAAATTTTTTGAGATGGCAGTCTAGGCCTCAAATTATTTCTTCAAACAGATGTGACAGTTACAGTATCAAGTGCAATCAAATACCAAAGGGAACAGAGCATGAGCCAGAGCCAACAGAAACCACAAAGGAAATGAGTCCATAGGAACTCTTTTGTGGGATAGGAGAGGGACTCAAATATTAGAATCATGAGGTATAGCTGGAATGTGGCTATGTTTACTCTGCTAAAGAAGATATAGGCTAAACTTGAAATTTTTAGTAGGGAACTGGAAACTATAAAAAGTAATAAAAAAATAAAATAATTCAAAATTTTAAGGGTTTTTTTTTTTTTTTTAATTTAGTACAGAGTCTATAGCTCTCACTACACAGATCATGCAGAGTGATCCTCCTGTTTTTAGCCTCCCAAGCACTGGGATTACAGGTGTGTGCCACCATGCCCTGTCTAGAAATCAAATATTTAAAATGGACAACTTTAAGAGTATATTAGAACTAGCTGGGCATAGTGGTGCACGCCTATAATCCCAGCACTTGGGAGGCTGAGGCAGGAGGATCCCCATGAGTATGAGGCGAGCCTGGGCTACCAAGTGAGTTCAGGTCAGTCTGAATTACATAGTGAGACCCTGTCTCAAGAAATCAAAACAAAACAAAACAAAACAAACAAACAAACAAAAAAACAAAGTAAAGGAGAAAAAAGTATATTAGAATTAGCTGAAGAGGGGCCAGGGAGATAGCTCAGTAGAATAAGCGCTTGCCTGGCATGTGCAAGGTCCTGAGTTCAATCCCCCGTTCCGGAAAAAAAAAAAAAAAAAAAGAATTAGCTGAAGAGAAAAGTCAATTAATTATAACGTATAGCGAAAGAAACAATCTGTTAGGTATGAGAGCCAAAAAGAAAGCTAGAAGAGGAAAAGAAACAGTGGAAAGGCTTAGACAGGTTGCTGGAGTTCCTCAAAGGGAGGGGAGAGAAGGGAACAGGCAACATTTGCATAAATAATAACTGGGAATTGCTGAAAAGGCAACAATCCATATTAAGAATGTTGTGTGTTATCAGTCAGAGCAGAAACAATGGGAAGACTGGATTAAAATAGCCTCAGAGGTCTCACTATGCCTTATCTAGCTCTAAGTGAGCCTGAGGCACTGAAACTTCTCACCTTTATTGAGAGATACAAACAGGCTAGGGATGTGCATAACTAATTTGATGTAAACAAACTGTTATTTACAATGTTTTAGGCATTCACCAAACTCTGAAGTTTAGAGGTCCCATTTGTTTCTTTTTCTTTTTTGCAGAACCTGGGATTGAACTCAGGCCTTGCACTTGCTTATTCTATTGAGCCATCTCCCCGGCTCAAACTCTTAAATTTACAATTAGCTAGTTGGTAACTACCCAGGTAAAGGAACAAAGAACAGAGAGCCGCCTCCAGGAATCTGTTACCTGGAAGTACAAGGGACCAGTTTCCTTAGGTCTGTTCTTTGTTCCTTGCTCCCTTGAGACAGTAAAGTACTGACTGCTATTGCTACACCAGAAGACCAACGAATACCAAGCAAGGTAAGAAGACCCTGCATACAAATATATCATGATGACCTTGCACAACACATAAGGAAAATAAGGAAACATCTGTTAAGAAAAACTAAATTACAGGAATATTAGTTTCCAAGGTGATAGGTTCTGGCCCTAGTATAAATTGCTGAATTATTATGGTAGTCATCTAATATGGCTGAAGCCCTTAAAACAACAGCTCATCTTCCCAGAGACCACCTCCCGCTTCTTCTCCAACCCAGCCCAAGGTGCAGTTTCCTTTCACCTTTCCCACCACCTCAGGAAAGACCCCATCAGCTCCTCACACATTGCTAAATATCCCCTCAAGCTCCACCCCTAACAAAAGTCCCTGAAAGCCCCAGCTTTCGTTGCCTCAGGCCAGAGGATCTACCTGGCCCATCTGCCCTCTCTGTCTTTGAAGTTAATAAAGGCTTCCTTTTATCTTTCCTATCTCTTTACTACACCTCCGAAAAGCCTATCACAAGGAATAACTGTTGGACTGATGGTTGATATCTCAAGAGCAAAAACAGAACCAGAAAATCAGGGAATCAGCTTTCTCATGTGAAGAAACTGCTAATATACAATTCTTTACAGAGTAAGAAAAATCACCATAATTTACAAAGCTGGGGAGAAGAGAAGCAGAACAACAGCAAAAATTTGAAAGTTAAAAAGCAGATGGACAAGTAGAAACTGATTTCACAGGCCTAAGTCAAATAGAATCCTAAGTTAGCACAGGATTTGATATCGTCACAGCCTACACTACAAAAATCTCCACTAGATTCTGCCACTGGGGGTGGTGGTAAATGTTGGCCAAAATAGATGCCCTGCTACAAGCTGCTAAGAAAATGATCAAATCCCTGGATGCTTCTGTTCTCTACACAACTTACCAGAGTTCTGCCTGTCCCCATCTCCGCACACATCCTCTTCCAGAAATGACACAGGAGAGGGTCTGAATTCTGGAAGGCCAAAGGCAGGGATATTAACCTGGTTTATGCAAAGTGAATTCTGAACATGGGTGCCCTCACCCCTCCTCCACTCAGCTCCCAGCACCAGCTAGGCCTTCCCCATGCCAGGAGGAGACTATGCACCTGGCCTCGGGCATGGTGTAGCCCATTGATGGGGAATCTTTTAGAGCTTTGAATAATACAAACAGCCTGCTGTAGCATGTGTGTTGTAGGTCCACCACCACCCATCTAGCCTAAGAGAACAGGGGCTCCGCACCAAAAGGCTCACCTGCCTATTCTACAGTATAACTTAAAGTCAGCAAGTTCCATCAACTCCCAATGCTTCCCTACCCCTTAAACATGAGGACAGCTACACTTTTAAAAAATAAATCAGAATTAGAAGAGGCCAGAACAAAAGTGGAGGTGGGGCAACTTGGAAAAAATAAGCTGCGCAGACAAACAAAGCCAAAGCCAGTTAACAGAGCTGGCGAGATAGCTCAGAGGGCTAAGTGCCTGCTTAGGTAAACTCAGGAACCAGGGTTCAATCCCTCATGCAGCATGCCCCACTGGCCCCACTCCCAGGCACCCTGAGCCAGACTTGGAGACCGGGTGTGGTGGTGCATGCCTGTAATCCCAGCACTGGGGAGGCTGAAAACAGGAGGATCGCTATGAGTCTGAGCTGCATAGTAAGACCTTGTACCAAATACATAAAACAAGCAAACAAAAGTTAAAAAACTACCATAAATATACCTAAAATGATGTTGCATCTATGAAGCAAGATTGGGATGTGTACTGATTCTATCAGCTCTAAACTCTTTCCCACTACATTCTTTGTAACACAGCAAGGTTAGAAACTTGCCAGTGATATTCCCAGACTCCTTCACAGGAGCATGTTATTATTTTTTTTAATTTTTAATTTTTTTAATTTTTGGCAGAACCGGGGATTGAACTCAGGCCATTGCACTTGCCAGAGAAGCACTTATTCCACTGAGCCATCTTCCCCAGCCCTCAGAAGTGTGTTTAAATTAGGGAGATGCTAATGGGGCCTGGAAGGTGGGAGAACAAAAGGGGCAAATGTTTTCCTGTTGTCTTCCTGCCTTTGGCAGCAGGAGCAGAAGCAGGTGCTAGAGGTGCTTTCACCAGCAGCGAAGTGGGGGTGCCTGGCAGCTTGCTGCAACCATGCAGAGCAGCAGTGAGGGCGGGGGTCTGGGCACCCACAGCTTCCTAGTCTTGGGCTGTATCCTGATGCTGTCATTGCCAGTCCCTTCCGTCAACTCCATCTTTGCTTGAAACAGCCAGAATGCTTTCTGTTTTGTTGTGTGCACACTGATGGACTGAAATGGTATTAAGAAAGAACTATCCAAAAGTAAGAAAACGTTCTTAGGTGTGAGTAATGTGAAAGCAGAAATGAAAAACTGATAGACATGTGAGAATGAGGAAATCACCTAGAAAATACAGAAAGGTGAGAAGACAAAAATGCAACTGAAATGCACAAAATTTCCAGTAAATTTGTGACATTGTATAACATTAATTATTGTGATATAAATTACTTTTTTTCACGTCGTTAGAAATAAGTCCCTGAAGTCAAATCATTGGTGTGGATAATAAAGCCCTTCACATCAAGAAATCTCAACAAGGTATTTTGCTTCCAAACTTGAGGTAGCAGGCATGTGTGACAAAGCTGATTTGCCCCTTTTATCGTAACTCAGGAGAAGCAGCTGACCTTTAAATTCATTGGCTGAATTCAAAGGCTTACAACCTTGGAGGTTGACTAACTCCAGTGGCTCACATGGGGATGGGGGTGGGGTGCCTTGGTCAGTAAGTTAGAGAGAGGGGGCTTATAGTTAGGCACACAAGGTCCTTAAGCCTTACCTTGGAACTGTGTTCTGAGGAAAGGTACATAGTCACCGAGAGCACACACCCTGCTGGCATTCCAGTGTGGCGTACATGCATTTGATGTACTTCTTAGTACAGTTCCAAGGGCAAAGAAGTATCAACTTAAAAGTACAATGACCAAGAACAAGACAAGGACGTATCTTTTTACCACTCTTCAATATAGTTCTTAAAATTTTACCCTAAGCAATCAGGTAAGAAAAAACAAAAGGGATACATATAGGAAAGGGAGAAATCAAATTACCCTTGTTTGCAGATGGTATCATATACAGAATTTAGAGCTTTTTTTTTTTTTTTTTTTTTTTTT